GTACAAAATTGACTTTGACGGAACTAAGGTTCTACAGAAAGGTTTCGGCTCATACCAGAAAAGACTGACAGCTGAGGCCCTACATATATGGGCGAATCCAGACAGTTTGAACAGACGAGATGGAGAACAGTTAGCTGCATTTTGACAATTACTAATTAGTAAGCAGAAAGAGTGACTTAAAACACTTACCGTCAACACTGGTCTCAACACCATTTCTGCATCAACAACAACACAACCTGCACTGATCTCATTCATTATTACTATCGTCATCATTACCACTCATTCCCACTCTATTCCGGTAAATCAATGCAAAGAGAATTCGCTAACACTATTCACTACTTTACTCCAACTGAAATCGTACACACATCCACCTCATCCTTTTCAATTTGTACTCATAAAATTACCGAATAACTGTCACCAATGACCTTTTTGTCTGATATTTACAATCAAGACGAATATGAATTGGAGCACATACATACATACGCCATACAACAAAAGACAATGACCAGACAAAGGGGATTGAATAAGGAGATTAAACACACATTTTTTGAATTCATTTATATATATATATATATATATATATATATATATATATATATATATCCTTGATATTTTAATTTTGATTATTTCCCTGAAGAAGCTCAGACCAGACTTCTGTGCGAAACGTTGGAATGCTTTGATTTCAAACCCGTCTTGTCTTACACAAATACAATTCTATATCTAATGTCAACCTTTTACTCAGCGCCCAATATTTGCCATACTATACAATCAAATCTTAATCATAGTTTATATAAATGACAATAATAATGTTCATACAGGGGTGCGAACTGAATCAATCGAGCATCGATCAAATCATTCAAAACAATATAGATAAAAGTACTTATGCAGACAAAACAAGATGTATATGGACATTATTTATAATGATAATAATGCTAATACGAACAAGGTGATGAGAGCAAGAAGCAAGCAACAAAAATTAAATATGATTAGACAGTGTTGTAATTCCTACCATAACACATTCAAGCTGATTACCATTTCTGTCTGAATGCAAAGCTTTGCTTTGATAACTCGAATCGAACAGGCTGTTCCAATTCCAAGCAATTTACTATTTTCCTATCTCCTGATAACCATAAAGCAATCACAGGTATCAATATCACACTCATAATCCATTAGATGTTTCGTTAACGAGCTCCTTGGGGTCTCCCCTTCTCAGCATGTTTCAACCATTTGGGTAAGAGCGCTCAACCAGTCAAGTAAACAGACGCTTCCGCAGGTTCATTCAAATTGATACATTCATTTAGATGTGTCGAGGATCTGAGCCCTGTCTTCCCCTGATTGTTGCAGTACCCTTTTAGTGGTGTTGAGGAGAACGAGTTTAACAGTGTAGTAAGTCCTTCTGACAGACTTCTCCAGTCTTCGTCGTCTAACTACTTCTTGCACGTCGTCACCTTTGAATGTCAAGGTGATATAGACTGATCTCTTCTGCTGTACTTCTGGGGACGTTGTTCTGCTTCCGATCCATTTCCCGTGCTCCTTGATAAAGCTTTCTGAGTACCCATTCTTCACTAGCATGTTTTTCAAAGTCACCATTTCGTAATCTAGTGTGCTGTCGGAATAAATTTTCGTGGCTCTGTTACATAGCGTTCTGACTACATTCACTTTGTATTCGATCGGGAACAAAGCTCTTAAAATGAAGGTCCTATCCTGTCCATGAAGGTTTCCTACAGATGAACCTTTCCATAGATCCATCGATTCTTTTCACTAATGAGACATGGAAGGAACTAGTCCTATTATTTCTCACGTGCTCATTCATAAATGTCAGATTTGTATGACATGAATTGAAGCTCTTTTAGTAGTGCTTCGCTTCTGCTACTACATATTATGAATATATCGTCCATGTAACGCTGGTACAGTTCCTTCGGATCTATAAAGTACTTCAAGCTACTTAGTTTCAAGACTTAATAAAAAAACAAGTCAGCGAAAATGGGACCCTAAGGGCTTCCCATTTCGACTCTGTCAGTTTATCAAAAATTGATTTTCCTACTATTTTCTTTATCAATGTATTTAAACAAATAAACCGGGCAATGTTTTTTTGCATATTATACCTGAATGCAAGAGTATCACCATTCCGTTGTTGAGAATAGAAGAAGACTAAGTGTATTCTACGCTACGCAATAATTAATTGCCAATTAAACAGAGTACTAAATGCATATTTTGTTGAATTATCAGTCTTACATTCTTCAACTTGGAAATTTATTGTGAATCTGACGTCTGAAGTCTTTTATCAAAAACTAGTTCCTGTATTTCCGTGATCTCATAGTTGTGTATTCATTCATTGTGTTAGCTAAGAATAGACAACAAACATCATACTAGTAGGTGTGTGTAGACAGATCGATCAATCAGTCTGTTTTTTTGTTAGTTGATAAAAAACACGCGTTCCTCACGAAGCTAACTGACTCATTCCCCGTAAATTAAGTATACAACAAAGTATACTGATATAGGATAAGGGATATGCAGTTATTTATAATCAACCGAAACAGACAGAATAACGTTTAAAGAAAGTGATGTGACTTCCAAAATATAGAATGACTCAATTTAGATAACATGGAAATACCCGTTTATCATGACAATGACTGGTCGTAGATAAAGAACACTCGATAGACCTTATTGGCTAGTAAAACTGAACAGTAACTTGGTAGAGTGTACAACTTATATATATTTGACCTAGATATTTCATAAACGACTTCTAAGACTATGTTTTACAGTTCAAATCCTACTCATCATCTGACTGAAAGACCCTGAAAATATCAAACAGAAATAAAACCGATTACTTACTATTCACACGCATGTTTATAGTATTAACTTGCGTAAATGAAGGGAGTGTTAGACTGAAGGTTTTAAAAATGTTAGTCGATTGAAGACATAAAATCGTATTCTCTCAACAATATCGTTTTAAAAACTAGGTTCCAAACTCCGCTCTGTCTAATTCGGCCAAGATGACTTGGTAGTAGCATCAACCCGCATACATGAAGTATGGCCAAAAGTACAGTGTATATACATGTACCTAGTTGAATCAGAACAAATCTGCATTCAATTTTGAAGGTTTCTGAGCAATTATTGACTTGAAGTTGGCACTCACCACCGGCTGACATCAGTTGGAGAACCTCTGAAAACCTGGAGATCTGTTTCGTCAGTATGGGACTTCTCAGCAGTGTGGACCAATGTCTGTGCCAGGATTAAACTCAAGACATTCAGGTTCCGCAGTAAGCCCGTTGCAATTGAGTCAATAAGTCGGAATTCAATTGTCGAGGTTTTCTGTCAGTTTGCAATATAGTGCAACCTCCAGCCGACGACGTCAACAATTACCTGAGCTCTCGTTCCACTTGGTTTGCCTCTCTATTAACGATATCTCACCAGAACTTCGGGGAACCTCATATCGCAGCAAGTCAGTAAAGAGCGCCACTGAAGAGTCCCATAATAGGACGAACTAGACGTTCAATGCTCCAGGGTTTTCAATGGTTCGCCAACTGATGACGATTTAGAATGAATACCTAGTAAAATTCTACATTATTAAGCGAAATGCTATTGATAATACGGGACTTCAAGTGAACGTAGAGAAAACAGTAGTGTTGAAAATATTCAACCAACAACAACAAACACCAATCACCATCAACAGGAAGAATCTATGCGAAGTCGTCCATTTCACCTACCCACTCACCTACCTACCTACCTACCTAGGCAACATCGCTCCAACTACAGGCCTCACAGGCACTGATGACGATCTCAAAGTCAGGATTGGAGAGAGAGCATGACAACTCTTCACTAACCTGAAATCAGTGTGGACATCTACTACACTACATTCCACCCCACCCCACTAAACTACACCCAGCATAAAGAGTGAACAACACCCACATTCGAAACACTAATGTCAGTGAAGTAAGTAAGCCAGTGCTTCTTCTATGTGATGGTTGACAGACTTGGAGGCGCATCACGAAAAGCATTTCCAACAAACTGCTGACATACACCACCATATCAACAGCTGCAGCCTGTGCTCACTCGATAGTGAAGATGCAGATCAGATGGCCAGAATAATAAGAATAAGCATGAAGGAACTCTGGCTGGCTGGCTCGTTGGATGACTAGCTGACTGACTGACTGACTGGCAACAAACCGACCAACAAATATGCAATAGAAGCAAGTGGAGATGGATTCGATTGGACATACACTGAGAAGATGGTTTGGGAACATCATGCATCAGGCTAGGCCAGACTGTCGAGTAGAATCCGCATGGGAAACGACGAGTTGGGCGTGTGAGTCGAGGGTGACATGTGGGAGATTGTGTGAGGAAGAAATGCGAGCTTGTGGGCATTGGTGGAGCCAGATATAAGAAGACTGTAGAGAAGAGAGTGTGGAATGGCGACGTGCTACCGAAGCCGTATGTTCCACTAGGAACCCAAGGGACAAATAATTATAATAAGTGATGATGGGTTGAAAATTGGTTTTGTATGATTTTATCACATTCTAATTCATTTTACACTTGTTTATGTTATTAGACAATAAGCAAAGTTACGCTACCTATTTCTCAGTATTCGGATAATCCATCTAATAACGCAGTAAAGAAGATTTTACATAGTCTGGTTACACCTAACCAGTGACACTCAGTGTTGCTCTTTGAGTCAGTTTAAAAGCATTACAAAGAACTAATTTCTCGATAACATGTAAGGTTGAGACTTTTTTTCTGCTTCTCATACAACATACAGATCCCATATTAACTAAATTATTGCATACTTCAAGTATTGCGGAATTTGCCTATTATCCTTCGCGTTTTCCTTTCTTCCAATCATTTCTTGATTTCTGCATCAACGTTAAAGGTTCCATTGAGTATCGAAATGGTATTAGCAAAGTGTGGCAGCATTCAGTAACACAACTCAAGGTCAGTCGATGCACAATCTTTATGATAAAAAAAAAGTAGCAAACACGTAAACAAACTGACTAACTAACCAGAGTAAGACTGCCACCACAACCAACAAGTGGTATATACGCTGAAACATGTGTAGTATTCTCTTCAACACGATAATGACAATCAGTTGGCAGTGGATTTTGATCTAAGCGAATCATACTCGAATTGATATCAGGATTTAAACTTTTTTCATATAAAATCGTAGCAGTTGTTTGATTACATTTGAACTGTGGTCGATAAACATCTAAGAATTGATGGATAAAATCAGTAGAATTTTTATATGAAATAAGCATCCCTTTTAAAATGTTAAATGGTTAACAGATAGTAAACTATCCAGTCGTATCTTTCAAATTTGTGATCAACACACGTTGGTATCAGGTGTCTGGTGTTATAGTTGATAGCAAACTCTTAGAGGATATATGGCTTTGTTAAGAAACTGTAACCTGTTAGCTTTTATAAACGTTTGTGTAAAACACTATGATCTAAATGTAGTATACATCTAGAAGGAATCCCATGCATAGGATTTCCAACCTTGTTGATTCGTTTTCTGAAAGTTTTTTGGATGAAAATCTTAGCATTTTTGAGATGCTTGTTATTATTATTATTTATTTTAACAGCTGTCAGATATTCGATTGTGTTCCAGGACAAGTGAGCAGAAAAATTTAGTTTCATAATAATAAAAACGTGGAATGGTTGAGTGTATGGACAACTTCACTTCTTCGGGTAATCATATCATATCTAACAGACTGGGGGATGTGAGAATTACGATGCAGATACAAAACGCTTAACTTTGAACTTCAGTACACAATTTCATTAACCTATATATGTTGTTCAGTTTAATATAAATTATTATTACAGAAAAAGGATTTCGTCCTTTTTAGGGCTCATCAACTGCACCAATTCCACTGTTAGTCACAAGGAAACACAGAACCAAGATCTAACTACTGAAAATGTTGAACCATCCGTACAGGGAGCACATATAAAAAACCCAGACTCATCAAAGCAATAGCATGAATTAACAACAGAAAACCATAAACTACAATTAATTTACACCGTCAAACATCGAACTTTAGAGAGTAATGAACACAAAAGTATCCAGAGTTAAATCCTTCTGTATATATTACTGTGAAGTGTAAAACGGGGACTGATTCTCCTATGCACAAGTCTTTATATTGATCTCTGTTATGCTTCCCCTATAAATCTTTTCCACTATCATAGAACATAATCCTATCACACCTTACTAACCATTTTCAAAGAGTTTAAGGGAACACCGGAACTGCTAAGCAATACGATCTCGTGAGTACACTAGGTTTTTTGATGTAAGGACAAGTGAGTTAGTCTTCATGATGAAACTTATCAAAAAAAAGTGTCAACTGATAAAAATCAGGGGAGAGAAGAATTCTGTGAAGAGTGATCTTCCTCATCTAATACTCTTTGATTACATTCTTACATATACATTGAAAGCATATTACTACCGATTGCAAAAGTTATAACAGCCACTCGGTTCTGCTCAACACGTAAGAGTTTAACAACATATAGTTTTACCCACTGATTTCCAATGAAGACGACGTGTTTGATATCATACATGCCTGAAATATTGAGAGATATATAGACGTCGAACACATGGTCAACGAGTATGATATACCTAGTTGACAAAAGCTTTAGGTAATTTGAACAGCCTGACTAGAGTGCTGATGACTTCAATTTGAAGTGAAGGAAACAAACTTCAATGTGTTACATGAATTTCACCTAACGAATGAAACATACTGAGAGATTTAGATGGTATCCAACTACTTATAACAATCAGTAGTATATTACCAGGAAGGGTAAGAAATTGTGCCTTATCGACTTAAGCAGTTCACTTTCAACTAGTGAGTCATGGGTCCGAACCCCGCTCCACTTACAGAGGCTTGGGCAGAAAGGTAGTATCATTAGCCATTACATAGTGGGTGTGGCTCATTTCCTTCTGCACAGATGTATACAAGCTTGTTGAGTGCATTCCGATTTTCGACCCGGAGGTATAGTTTTCATGAAACCAGCTACGATTAACAAACATGATGCATAAAATACTGCTATTTTAAGTCATAGTTACTCTCCTCTAACAATATGAAGGCAAATATAAAACGTGCACATTGTCAACCCCTTTTAATCATTAGTGTTAGGCACATTATAAAATGTTGACGTGTAGCCTAGCAACGTATTATTTTAATTAAAACAGTAGTAAAGCATAAACTTTTAAGTTAATAACGGAACCAAACAACATTACATCTTTCCATGGTAGAGTAAGTGTTAACGTGATTATTGTCATCGTTACAATGCATAGCATCGATGTCAAGGCAATCTTATTTTCCGTCTTGAGGATAAAACTAATGGGCGACTTAAAAGGCCACCATAGCAACTGAGGAAATACGAAACCAGGTTTCGGTTATACAGCTGGAAAGGAAGATTTTCATAAGACAGAGAAAACCGATTGGTTGTCTCATTTGTTGCTAAGGTGGCCATTAAATTCGAGTAAAATTAGTTACTCACCAATATTAAGCAGTTGGATGATGCTGATCAAGTTAGCATTTTATCTTTGAAAATGCGACAAAACTCTAAAATGCGGCGAATTTGAACGGCACCCTATTATTATTTGCCCCTTAGGTACCTAGTGGAACATACGGTTTCGGTAGCACGTCGCCATTCCACACTCTCTTCTCTACAGTCTTCTTATATCTGGCTCCACCAATGCCCACAAGCTCGCATTTCTTCCTCACACAATCTCCCACATGTCACCCTCGACTCACACGCCCAACTCGTCGTTTCCCATGCGGATTCTACTCGACAGTCTGGCCTAGCCTGATGCATGATGTTCCCAAACCATCTTCTCAGTGTATGTCCAATCGAATCCATCTCCACTTGCTTCTATTGCATATTTGTTGGTCGGTTTGTTGCCAGTCAGTCAGTCAGTCAGCTAGTCATCCAACGAGCCAGCCAGCCAGAGTTCCTTCATGTTTATTCTTATTATTCTGGCCATCTGATCTCCATCTTCACTATCGAGTGAGCATAGGCTGCAGCTGTTGATGTGGTGGTGGATGTCACTGACATTAATGTTTAGAATGTGGATGTTGTTCACTCTTTATGCTGAGTGTAGTGTAGTGTAGTGGGGTGGTGTGGTGTGGTGTGGAGTGTAGTAGATGTCCACACTGATTTCAGGTTAGTGAAGAGTTGTCATGCTGTCTCTCCAATCCTGACTTTGAGATCGTCATCAGTGCCTGTGTGGCCTGTAGTTGGAAGGATGCTGCCTAGGTAGGTAGGTAGGTGGGTGGGTGGGTGAAATGGACAACTTTGTATAAATTTCTCCCGTTGATGGTGATTGGTGTTTGTTGTTGTTAGCATAATTATTTTCATATTGTACTGTCGTTGATTGTACCCATTTTATTGGTCTCTGTTGGCATATGGGATTCTGTGCGGATGCATCGATATTGCCTGTGTTATAGAAGTGGCTAGCAGTGGAATCCAGGATGCGCATTTCCTCCTACTTGGGACTCGTCAGCTGGATGTGCCTGTATCGTCATCACTATAATTAGAACACAGGCAATATCGAGGCATCCGCACAGGAGTCCAAATGCCATTAGCAACCGATCAATAGGGTCCAATCAACGACGGTATAATATAAAAACAATTACACTAAAACTATACCCGCCGCACAAGAAGTGGCTATCGTGGCCCGTTGGTGCAGTGGATAACGCTCTGGCGTTTGAAGCGACCGCCCCCGAGTCCGAATCCAGGTGGGGGAACAGCGCCCATTGGGAGGCAGTTACATCCAGCTGACGAGTCTTAAATAGGAGGAAATGAGTATCCTGGATTCTGCTGCTAGCCACTATCGATCATTAATGTAATGATAAATCAGGTCTGATTACACAATGAGGTTAACTACACGACTTTTAACTTGCTTGGTGGTGCCTGGCAGTTGAAACGAAGACGTGCGTTCTGTCCTACTTTGTACCAATCAGCCGCATGTACCTGCCCTCCAGTGAATGATGTTGTTCCCTCCGAGACTTGAACCCAGCACCAACCGCTTCAAACGCCAAACCAATACTCATTGAGCAAGAAGTAGCTCTCGTGCCCCAGTGGATAACGCTCTAACGTTTCAAGTGATGAGTGCTTGGTTGGAGTCTACGTGGGAACAACATCACTCACTGGAGCGATTGTAAGTCAGGTTGACAAGTCCTAAAAAGGACGAAATGCACGTCTTAGATTCTACTGCTATCCATGAAGTAAACTATGACGCACTGGAGGTAACTACTGTTTAAAGTATTACACCCTACGCAGACGTGAACGGCACTTGTTGAAAAGTCGGCTATGAGATTAACCCAGACACTTGAAAGTATATTTCAGAAACGATTCCCACTTATAGTTTGATCCGTTAAAAACACAATTTTTAAAGCATAAAGAGTATTTGAAACAGATAAGTGGTTTTCATTGTGAAATTCTTTCCTCTATCATCCTGATATCATAATCATCGGAAATCACAGGAACTGAACTCATCACAGGAGAATCTTTGGTCGACTTAGAATACGCAGATGACATGGTCATGTTAGGTGATGTTGACTTCTGGACACCTTGAAAGCCAGTTTACTCTAGGATTGGTCTTCTGTGGTGCCCTATCTCACAATAGAGAGTAGAACGATTGAGTATGTCAACCGCTTCACCTACCCGGAAGGGTGGATCATTCCTGGTGGGTCAGCGGCAGACAAAATCTTTGTACGGATACAAAAGGCTCAATTGGCTGTCGCCAACTTACGCCATCTGTGAAGCTATCACGATATCCGATTTCCTACTAGGGTCAAGTGTACCTTGAAGCAGTTCGTTCTGTTCTACTCTATGGCTATAAAACATGGCTATTAAAGGTAACATAGGACATGTGTCGTGGCGTCTCCATGTCAGTAAAAAATAAGCTAAGTGTAGAGTTTTAGAGAGGAGAGGAAACTCAGTTGATAAGGTAGAGGACATTCATCTATTCAGATGGCTGGGACATGTGTTAGACACATAGTCATCATCCACTACGTCGCCCAATGTTGGCTGAAGTATATTCAGGGTGGGAAAGGCTTGCAGAGGCCAGACTAAAATATGGAATCACTGCATGAAGTCATTGACTGTCGGTCTGAGCCATTTTGGGAGATGCAGACTAACCAGTTGGGATCCACGTGACGACAGAGACCAGCGGTTGGTTCAGAATCGATGTGAGTGGCGCAGATGTATCTACACTTTATCTCCATCTTAACTACTATGCTGAATTCAGTATCTCATTCTCCCTACCTCTCTTTTACTGCTTTCTACTGCTTTTGACCAGTTCTTCTTTCTTCCTTCATCTTAGTACTTCGTTACTTGATGTGCTGACGTGAGTTGTGGCAACTTGGACCGTTGTGCACTAGTGGCTTGATAATGTATCATTCCAATAAGGGGGAAAAACTTTCATGTTATAGGTAGACTTTAAAAACACGTCTGTTGGTAAAAAATGACTCATTGTCCAGTATATTCTATTAAGCCGAATTTTGAGCATGGTTTATGCGTCATTGGTTTATTTAAATTTAACGTTGCTGAACGAAATAAAATTGACAGTTGATAAAGGCAAAAGCTTGTAAAACAGAAATAAACTAACCTTGATTTTCTATATTAGATGAAGGTCCACATTGTAATCCAACATCCATACCATGAGTACAACCTGGTGTATAACTCCATCCTCCACCTAATTTACAATCATTTAAGCTTGTTGCATTCGATGGACATTCTAAACGTGATAAATGAATGGGTGTTGAGTCTGGTGCACTTCCATACTGATATAAAACTGGATAAGCATATTTCAGATTATCCCTTGATGAGTAAAAATAAACATATTTTGAAGGTAATTACAGAATAAAATAATACGATTAAATTTATACGATTTTTGTCTATAACGCTTGCAAGATGATAATTAAAATATAGAGTATGAAAACTCTAGGGGCTGTGATTAAAACTTACTGATGAAGGCGGAGAAGTGCGAAATCTATGTCGCGGTGTGTTTTACTGAACGTTTTCAAAAATCTAATGACCGGCACCGCAAGCTTTGCACTGATTAGAAAAGACTTTGGTTAGTAATAAGGACAAAATGACTTAGATAATGATACAATTTAAGCTGAGGTTTTCAATGACACAGCTTTCTAATGAAATACCATTTGTCATCTTAACTTTAACCTATTATTTGTTAGACACTTCACAGCTGTACATAACGCCGTTATACAAGAGACCAGCTAGAGTTTGAGTACAATTGTGATGCTACCTTCAAATTACAAGCATTTTTATGTACGTTTAATGTAATGGGGAAAGCTACTTATGTAAATACATATAAGTAGCATGTAGCGAGATATTAGGAAATGCAAGAAATTGTAACAGTTAACTGATTAAGATTCTGAAGAGAATAAGACATGATTTCGGAGCGAAATATGAAGATCACAAAAATGAATTTACAGAAAGCACAGATAGGGACAGAGGAATGCGGAATCAGGATACTGCTTATAAAATGTGACCTAATAGTAACGTTCAGTGCACAAACTCGAAGATCTACAGGCGAAAACCAACAAGTTGGCAGAAGAGGCCAAGCAGCAAAGACGGGACTACTTTCAGGTGAACGTAGAGAAGACAGTAGTGATGAAGATATCCAACCAACAACAACAAACACTAATCACCATCAACGGGAGAAATTTATACAAAGTTGTCCATTTCACCCACCCACCCACCTACCTACCTACCTAGGCAGCATCCTTCCAACTACAGGCCACACAGGCACTGATGACGATCTCAAAGTCAGGATTGGAGAGACAGCATGACAACTCTTCACTAACCTGAAATCAGTGTGGACATCTACTACACTCCACACCACACCACACCACCCCACTACACTACACTACACTCAGCATAAAGAGTGAACAACATCCACATTCTAAACATTAATGTCAGTGACATCCACCACCACATCAACAGCTGCAGCCTATGCTCACTCGATAGTGAAGATGGAGATCAGATGGCCAGAATAATAAGAATAAACATGAAGGAACTCTGGCTGGCTGGCTCGTTGGATGACTAGCTGACTGACTGACTGACTGGCAACAAACCGACCAACAAATATGCAATAGAAGCAAGTGGAGATGGATTCGATTGGACATACACTGAGAAGATGGTTTGGGAACATCATGCATCAGGCTAGGCCAGACTGTCGAGTAGAACCCGTATGGGAAACGACGAGTTGGGCGTGTGAGTCGAGGGTGACATGTGGGAGATTGTGTGAGGAAGAAATGCGAGCTTGTGGGCATTGGTGGAGCCAGATATAAGAAGACTGTAGAGAAGAGAGTGTGGAATGGCGACGTGCTACTGAAGGTGTCCTCTTCAGCATCAGTCAAATTAAACTCGGGAACCATGGTATGCTGGATTAATCATCTATTACAGTTGAATTCTGCAATGATTGTACTAAATAACATAGAGATTCATCGACATATATGTTTCTCAGACCCGATAAAACCTTTCTAAATAACATATCAATGCTTCAATAGTCAGCAAAAGGTCAAAATCTTTTGTGATGGATGTGCTGAATGATGTTCAGCGAAATATCCCTCTTTTTAATATTTATTCAACTATCATAGACTTAATTTCTTTATGTAGCATCTCAAGAATAAGTCTCCGAACTGCAAAACAAGCCATAGTACACAGACATTTTGGTTTTGTTAGGCTAAGTGTTACTTGGACATCTGGAATAGAAGTCTAAGGCAGAATGAGATGCGTTCTTCGTATCATGATTAATTTTCTTTCAGATAAGTGGAAAGAGTCAACCTGGTGGTAATTAGTTCATAATAAAGAAAATGTTAGATTGTTCTGCACTTTTCAAATGTACTTCTGGTAAAATATCCATATCTGCTTAAAGGTTAACATACGACATATTACTACCAGGTAGTAATAAAGCATAGCCGATGAATACATTTAATTGCAGGTGTGTGCGAAGCGACTGTCACAAGAAGCTCGAGACCTAACTGGGAAATACTTCGACTGCGGACCTTTTTAATTCATTTAGCACAGATAGGAACCAAATCGTCCATCTTAAGGATAAGTGAGAAATGGAGATGCCATACAATGATGGCTGAAGGCGATTAGTCATCTCATAGATAAAAGGTCTGATTGAGAAGCCACTGATTATTTCGACTTTTTGAAATTTCGTTTGGATAACTCGCACTATATACTTTCTGCAAACAGTCTGAAATCAGTGCTAAGAATCGTAAAAACAGAGTGAAACCCGGAAGACACTTCAGAAGCTTTTGCGAATAGTTTCCACAGCTTTAGTTTGAAGCTATATCTTTATAATGAAGAATGTAAAGAAAGTGCCTCTCTCATCGCAATAGACATCGTTGTACCCATCACGAGTCCAACATAAACCAGAATACTGAGACTTCAAATCCCCCTCTGTTCTATTCCTTCCAAAATGATGCACCTATTTACCCGTCTAACGGTACTTTTTCCTACATCCAACCCTGTCAGATTTCTCAACAACATGAATTTTTAAACCCTAGTGACCGTAGATTCCACGTGCATGAGAATGGGAAAAGCAAACGTGGTTCTGGGAACAATCGCTAAAAAGAATAGTACTTCGGAAAACAGGCTTGAAAAGGTTCTTCTATTTAGTCTGTTGATAACAGTGTTGAGAGGCTACAGTCAGAGAAGTATGGGAAATAATTAAGGTTGATCTGATGGCGTTTGTCCGTTCCGCAGTGTTTCCCATCAGTTATATGGTGATGCAAAAAACAGAAAATTGTAAGCTCCCAGGTCATCGATTACATAGTTACCAACAAAGAGCACTTTTCATAGTACCTTACGGAAGACTTTGACTAGTATATATCTCACAAACGAGATGTTGCTTTGTATGATAACCATGTTGAAATTCGGGCAACCGCGAAATTGCATAACATACCTATTGAGATTTATCCTAGTCCAACAGAATTAATCAACATTTTATATGCTGAATATTCCAAAGGATTTTCTCTGCGAGACTGAGGTTACTATGGTCGAGTTCACTATAATTCCACAGCAGACTTCCCTTCAACCCATCATACACACCAGCATAGGGAGATGACTACTAATCACTGGGTCACGGGTTCAAACCCCGTTCCATCTACCGAGATTTGGACAGTCAGGTAGTACCACTAGTCCTCGCACAATGTGTGGCTCATTGCCTACTGTATAGATGTGCACAAGATGAAAGAGTACGTTTCATATATAAACCCAATGTAAACAAAGATATGACAACAAAAAATCCTATTAAGTAGTAAACAGCCAGCAAATAGTAAACATAAACATACAACGCTTTTAATAAACGAATCAAGAAGGAAACAAAACATATCTCAAATATTTATGAATGTCCATCTTTCTGAAAGAAAAACCAAAGAGCTATACATAAATATGAAATAGTTCAACTTTCAATCATAGAAAACGAAAGGAATCGTCACAGTTACACCCAAAGTATAAACTTTGAATTGTAAATAATCTCTACAGAGGTATTGGGAGGCATTGGAAATAAAAACGAGTGTCATGAAAAGATGATTCATGAGATAGTGAACTATGCTGAAATCAGCTAAATTTTCACAGGTAGGAAGGGAAGGTATAATGATTGTCCTACAAACAAAGTGGGACTAATCAAAAATCGTTCACTCGATAAGCCACGCCTATTTCGTGACGAAATGGGAACGGGACTCGAACCGACGACTTACTACTACTGTAGTGGGCTTTGCTGATCAGAATGGATATAAGTAGTATATGTTGAGAGGGCGGCAGAAACCATAGGGAATTACCAGTAATGAGTAAGGACTCTACCCAGAAAAACGCAAGAGACAATGCGGGCGTATAAAGAGCAAATCAAGAGAGAAGCAGAAGAAGGAATGAAGCATATTTTGTAAATGATTGTCTTAGTGCAAGGTGTACCATATTTAACGACTACTGTACATGTTATTAATAAACATTCCTTCCTTCGTCTCTGTCTTCTTGTTTCCTTCACTACTACTGGCAGAAAATCAAGAACAGTCAGACTAATGGAATTGGAATCCCACCTCTGAGAAATGAGCGAAACACATCAACCCTATTTGTTGATACAAACTTAAAGTAAGCAATACAAGTATAAAAAAAAGTAAGATTTTACAAGTTTATTCAATCCTAGTTTTTTATACTTTCATTATTTGCCTTACATTAGCACCAATGTGGATGAACGCCTATAGAAAGATAAGGAGAAATGGATAAAGCGTTTAACCTTCCACGTAGACGTATGACTGTAAGTTATCATAGACAAAAAGTTCAAAGCAATATACAATTTGAGATAACTGTGTAACATAAACACACTTTGAAGGAGAAGTTATCATGTAAAACACCATAAACCAAGAGAAAAAAACAAGAAAAGTCAACAAGTAGTAAAAAAAAATATTAAAATTTATATCAAGATGAAGTATCAATATATATCTGGGTCAGTGTAGTAGATTATGAACCATTCCACAGCTTAAGTCTAGAGAAGAGAGTTGATTTGGAATAGAGAAAGAGGTAAGACTAGACCAATGTAATTCTTCAGTTTTCACTCATCTTGGATGAATAATATCTGTTCGAGAACCGCTCAAAACTAAAAAATATTATACGTCGATTATGTTCTAGATGAGGATTCTTTAGTATTGTGCATTCATAAGCTCATGTAGAAACAAACTCAGGATGCCAATTTCTGAATTTTTATATCTTATTCTAGCTATCGTGAAGTGTAACAACTTCAACTAGCTTATACTTCCTCCTTGCGTTCACCTGGTTGACTTTTATAAAAGTTATTGTTGTCACAACATACAAGGCTTATTAGTTTGTGAAAGGAAGCGACTAAAATGGAAAATCGACATTTTAAGTTATTAGCTGATAAGCTTTGACCTATGCTACTTTGTTATTAAAACGAATCTTAATGGACAATTTTATGTTTTATGACTAAGCGAAGTTTTATATTTGTGAAAGTTGTATGTATATGAGGTATTTTTGTCGGATCTCAAAGGGGATATCAATTTCTTCGAGGTTGCACGTATGCCTTGCTGACGAATGTAGACAAGTACGAAACCTATGTCCAGGGCTTCCTGCTGATTGCTTTCAACGGACTAAAAGCCACCTCTGAACTCACCCGTTAGTCGTGGTCATCTGATATCTTCGCGACTAAATAAATGGTTGTTATGGTATTCAGTTTAGGTATCGTATTGAGTTCAGTATCATTATTACTTCAACGTCTTATATCACTCGGTCACTTCAGTTTCTAACTATGAGTAACTGATAATCTATTGATCATTTTACAATTAACTCATTAAAACAAAATCGAAGTAGATATTCATATATCAATTGGTGACGTTTAATTATTCGATGCTTGTTGAATATATAAACACATTGGACAATTTATAGCAGTGTCGCCTTTCTTTGAATTCATATGACTGACTGACTAACAAAATCAACGTACAACCTTGCACACAAGTGTATTGACTCAAGTTGTCACACTTTAGGTGGATAGAAAAGGAATGATATCAAAGTAGAGAAAGTTGTATGAGAGAATAAGCGGCTTGAAGATGTCGAAGAACAAATACATCTGTGCCATTGTGATCGATTTTCAGCCATTTTACCAAGAGTCAGTCCTCAACCATTGATTCACATTATCAGTTAAGACAAAAATTAATTGAAGACATTTACAGAAAATTGTCTCTATATTGATAAATTCATCAAGTTAACCTGTTTTACACTATAAAAAATTGACTTACGAACTTGTGCATAGCATTCGGCAAAGAGCACGTGCTGCATTCAAATCAAAACCATCCGCACATATTGTACCCCATTGGTTTGTTTGAGGATGTTTGACTTCTACGCGACCAGAATTACTTGTCCCATCAACTAAACGTATAGTTGAGTATGATGGGGAACTACCTGAAAAGCAAATATAGATTCATAGGGCAGGGGGTTAGCAATATGACAGTAGAACTTAGACACAGTGATAGTGTATAATTCCAAGTTAATTTGTTAGTTTGAGCGTTATTTCAGTTGTTTTTGGATAGAAGAATGAAAAATGTGTTGCTAAGAGTTATACACATATACGTGCTCTTTATGCCGTACGGACAAAAGATGCAATTTCAGAAAACAAGTGTAGAAAAACTGTATGCATCTTTAATGAATGATGTCTTCAAAGCACTACTACTAATGCACAGTCATCAAATTTGATTTTCAGTAACAAAAACCAGTCTATTCAATAAAACATACACAGAACAGCGTGACATATTGTAAATATCAATGCACAGCCAATTTACTTCACTTCCCGGTAAAGCAATTATGGTATGTCCTAGTATGACGTTGAAACGTTTGCCAACTAAAACTGCAGCTTAAAGAACAACTCAGTTGTGATATCAACTTTTTGACCTACAAATATTGCCCATTTTTACGCTTGTAAACATTAGTGCAGCTCCGATTCATTAACAACGGTACTTGATTTTCAACAAGTAGTGGGTCAAAGGCTGGAACTTTGCTCCGCCTATTAAAGTTTGGGCAACCAGTTCGCGCTTACACAATAGATGCGGCTAACTACTTAGAAATACTACCATTTCTAAGCAATTCGTTTTCGAAGCAGAGCCTAGTCATCGACAGTCGAGCCCCACCAATTACTAGAACTCTGATCAAAGAGAAGGATTGACGAACCCGTATGCCATTTCTTTTAAATTATGTCAGTGATCGTTAGCAACCAAGCTCACCGACTGATGAACTACTAAATGTCATGAACCTTGAAACAACCTTTCTGTTGACGATCTCTTTCTGATCTCCGTAAGTCATGTGGCTATTTTGACGTCACTCGAAACGGTAGTCTTTTAGGCACTTTTACTCGTATACTGATTTAAAGCAAACGAAGAGATAGGAGATATAGTCTGAAGATCTTTGCATTCCAGTGAAGCAGTTAAACAGCCTTCACGAATCCGTTCGAAGGTATGTTTACAGCCAGGAAAGCAATGAACGTGTCTACATGCAGACTTTGTTAGTCCAGTAAATGGTTCTATGAATATTGATTATGTTTAATTAACATCCAAATGACCTGAAATTATCATATTAAAGCATATGATAATTACTTCAAAGTCTCTTCAGACAACATGGACTTCTAGAAATGCTTGTCTCTGAGTTCCCAATCACCAATTTTCAAGACTTCTGTCTACAAAATGATACTGACCGTCATACTTCTCCCCTCCCCTTACGATAAACTACTATTGCTGAATAACACTCAACGTCTAGTCTATGGAGGCGTATGTGGTGTTTGAGTTACATTATCATTGCTATTATTCATCATATCCATCGGGTTGACTGGAGAATATGGTTTCGAGTCACGTGATGGAGTGAAGGAGCTCCAACCAGGATTCCTGAGACGGTAACAAACCGTGACTGAAAACACTATGCCACTTCAGCAACACAATATCTAGTCCTAGACAGTGAACATCATGCTATGAATGTAAGTTCACTGGTTAAGTATCAAATGATGCAAAGTGATGTCTAAAATTTTAGAGTTCGTAGAAAATGCTTATTCATGGGGACTAAACCTATTCAATTTAATATAGTTTGCCAGATAACAGCTAGCTGTGTAGCTCAAGATCCACGCCTTGTCCTATTTTAGGTTTGGCAATCGGATGTTTTATCACTTTTTGGTGTTCTCAAGGTGACTCAAACTTCTGATAATCAGAAGCGAATAAATGAAGCGAAACTGAAACCTGGAACAGTAGTGAAATATGAATTCAGCGACAAAGTGTCCCAACCAATTTGTTCCAGTAAAATAACCAGAAAGAAATCAGAAGTACGGACAAAAAGCCGCTGTACAACCTGCTCAAAATTTGAATAAGTATAGGATAGGATACCTGGTCAGTGACTTTGAACGCCACCCCAGTAAGAACTGAAATAACCTCCTCATTTTGTGAAAATCCGCCTTTTAAGCCAAAATGAAAAAACCTAACTGATAATTTCAGGGCGGCCTTTAAAGTAAATCATCACGTTTCTGTTTGTTTTTACAAATTACAGAACTCCAGTTGATGATCTTAACATTTATGTTGTTGCCTGTATTATCTCACTGTCGTACAAGATGTAGTTGTAGTGGGTAACGCTATGGCGTTTGAAGCGATCGGTCCTGGATTCAAACCTAAGTGGGATCAACCCGCTCACTGTGAAGCAGGTAGATCCAGCTGACAGGCCCCAACCAGGAAAAAATGCGTATCCTGGATTCCATTGCTAGCTTCTCTATCCACCATGAATGTATCTTAGATGTTGTTAGGGCGGCCTTGAATGTTTCTCGCCTTTATTTTGTTGGTGTAACGGTTAGATGTAGCCAGTGCGTTAATCAGATAACATTTAACCAAATGCACACACAATGAAACACGTAAGCGATTCAAATTTCAGCCACAAGATCAGGATAATGAAATTCCTATTGATGTGTGTATTTACGTACATCTATAACAGTGATCAAGAGGTATGAAGTAGGTTATGGAACAGCGATTCAGTTCATGTGTGTGTACGTTTAAGAGATTAAATCAATGACTGTTTCATTCTAGATGTCTGATGACTCATGTCAGTCGATATGTCAAGCCTTCCCTTTTCAAAGTGAATTGGATTTAGAATAAAACATGAGAGACTTTAAAGAGCACCCTATCGATAACTGAAATGACCAATTACGCTTCTCTGTGCGAAAATCACCCTTTCCAACCGAAATAAAGAAACCGCGTTTGTTACTACGATCATTGCTAGAGTGGGCTTCAAAATAGACCAGAAATAAAATGCTTTAGTCATCCAGCCTTATTTCCAGTCAGAAAAACTTTTTTAGGGATTTCAAGGTGGTCTTATAGATTTTAGATATGATATAAACAGCCACCAAACACTGCATTTGCAAATTTGTCAATTTCACAGGCTTATTAGGGTGAATAACCTCGCCTAGTTCACTAGTTGCTATACTAGCAGGTCCTAAGCCTGGATAAAGATAGAAGGTTGGGCATACGGCTAGCAACCCTAACCCGTAAAACAAGTCCAGTCGCTAAAGAAACTTAAAGCACAAAAAAAATATTATAAAAAAAGATTAATTTATTCCTAGCTGGAGTCAGAGAGACAACATGACAACAGTTGGTGAAAGCCTTCGGGAAGCCAATTGGCCGATGTGTCTTCTCTTCTCTCGATGAAAGCGAAAGTAAGCATAGCGACATGGAATGTTCAAACAATGTTTGAAGCTGGCTGGCATGACTGTCCAGAGTGCAAAAGAGATGGGAAGATGGAGCATAGAACTGCTAGGAATCTGAGAGGAATCCGCAGATGACATGGAAGTGGACTCGACTCTCCAAACTGTCAACTCCAGACTCAATAATCTACTCCAATATTCTAACCCACACGACAACCATGAGCACAATCAGTTTTCCAGTGGCTATCATGATGTCCCCCTCCCAAAAGCATCAAACGCTCTCTCTCTCTCTCTCTCAGGCAGTGGGAACCAATCTCCACATCCACGATCATGACAGCAAGGTTCAACTCAAAAAGAAAGCAAAGTCACAATCATTCAATACTGCGCTACACTACGCGCCTACAAATAATGCAGACCAAGAGAAAGAGGAAGAATTCTACAGACAACTGCAATCAACACTGGACAAGACCCCACCTCAGTTGGCGACATCAAAATTCTAATGGGTGGGGTGACATGAATGCCAAACTCGGAGCAGACAACACACGAAGAGAACTCATCATGGGTCGAGAGGCACCACTGGGTGAAATGAATGAGAATGGAGAACCATTTGCAGACTTCTTCACATTTAATGATTTGGTGATTGGAGGCAGTGTGTACAAACACAAGGATATTCACAAGGCAGCGACATGGATTTGATTTCACCAGCTGGACACACTACACTGGAAATCAGATCCACTTCATCTCAATCTCATAAAAGTGGAGACGCAGCCTACTGGATGAAAGATCATGAAGAGGAGCAGATGTAGTTTCACACCACTCACTGTTCTAGTGCAAGGAACCCGCCTTCAAAATCAGGTTGGAAGCCATCGAAGAAGCTGGTGATGATAGACCACAGTTCAAGTCAAACACCTACCCTGAACAGAAAATGAAGGACGAAACTTCAAAGGACATCTTCACGTCAGTCATCAGAACAAAATGGGAGACATTGAACAACATACCCGAAGGAACCTGTGTGGAAGAGAAGAACACTAGAACTCTTTGAAAGAGATGGGAAGGTGGAAGGAAACCTGCATAACCATGTTAGGAAGGAAGAAGAAAGAAGACAAGGAATGGATCTCGACGGACACATGGAAGCTGATAGAGGAGGGAGAGGAAGATGGTGAAGCAGAAGATGAACCGGTGCAATGCAGTGGAGGTACGAACAACGAAAAGAGGAACTGAACACAACCTATCGAACACTGAACAAAGAAGTGAAGAAGATTGAGAGCAAAGACAAAAGATACTCCTACGACCCACTTGCAAGTGAAGCAGAACAGTGAAGGAAACTTAGTTATAAAAGAGGAGAAACAAAGAAAACCATATATTGACCACTTCAAAAAAACTCTCGGATCGACCACGACCACCACCTTCAACTCTTCTAGAAATAACATCAGCAGCCACAGAACTATCACTGCACACAAGCCCTCCGATAAAAGCAGAAGGGATGTCCTGAACCCCATAAAGTTGCTGAAAGCCGGGAAAGCAGCAGGACCAGATGGGATTTCTCCGAAAGCACTGAAAACAGATGCAGAGACAACAGCGGACGTGCTCATATCACTGTTGCAGAAGGTTTGGAAGGAGGGAAGGAAAGGTACCTGCAGACTGGAAGAAGGGCTACCTTGTCAAACTCCCAAAGGGAGACGTAAGTCTTTTCAAGAACTGGTGCGGAATCATGCTCCTTTCTACCCCAAGCAAGCAAAGT